AAGATGTTTTTGCATACTAAATTTCGTCACGATCGCAAATGTCCTTCTCGGTGCTTCGATTGTTTTTGGAAAAGAGTGTATTTCCAAAAGAACCCTTCCAGAAGACATCTCAACAACATCGCAATTAATAATATCTCCATTCCAAATGAAAAAATGTGTTAAATATTTAGGCGTTTATCTCGATCAAAAACTAACCTTCAAAAACCATACCGAAAATATCTGTAAAAAAGCCAACCAAGCAATAGGCAGTATCTATGCACTCATAGGGAGAAATCTATATGCTTCCCCAGTGCGGGTTGTAACTGCGAGTTCTCACCGTTAAAAAATACAAAGAATTTAAAACAAGGCCATCCGAATAATTACAAATGCACCTTGGTTCATACAAATCAGCATTCTTCACAATGACTTAAAAATTAAACCCACGGACTCTGCAATTTTAAAAGCTTCTCACAACTTTTTCACAAAATGTGACAGTCACCCTAAGAATATCATCAAAAAAACTAGGAAATTATGATTTCACAATTGAACAACGCCACAAAAGTCCCCGCACTATTCAACATAATAATCGGTGGTAATGTATATATTTTCGTTTTCCTCTTATTTAGCCAAGATTTTACTTCATTTTCTTTATTTATAGTTTTACTTACCAAATTACAAAGCGCTATGGACTTTGTTCCTGTCAGAGCAGGTAGACTTTGTGTGTAAATAGTTTTTACCTTTGTGAAGCGTGTTTCAATGTACTGCAAATTGTGCTTTTCATCATTTTACTTCATGCCAATTATTGGCTATCAGAAGAATAATTTTTATGAAATTTTAAAAATGCCTTACAATACATCCTGCAAGACATGACGCCACCAGAGCTCCAGTCAACTAAAATGCTTTTCATCCCTACTAATAGATGGCGCCACATTTCTTCAAAGTTTACTTATTTTACGGATGGCGGCAAAGGAGCCTCTGTCGCTAGTAATCTCCGAGTTCTAGCACAGCATGTGCACAAGTACTTCCATATTATTGGATGCAACTTATTCGATTCTTCACACATATAAAAGTATAATATATTGGTAAAGGCCGTTAATGGCCGATTGCCTCTTACTAACTGATAAGATATCTCTCTCATTTCGACTGCTGCTGCCTTTGATGAAGCCTGCTTATTGTCTGCTCCTGGTATGCCTAATAATTGTCTCAAATAATTGCTATCTACTGAGTTTACTCATGTCAACGCTCTCGCCTTTGGGTGTGGTGTATTTTTTAATACACCTTTTATTTATTCAATATTTTACTAATGCCAGTCGCATAGATATGATACTAGTGCTAGGACATAGATGCTTGATGTATGCAGAGGCAGAGACGCCTCTTCTGCCGGAGATAATGATATACCTCATGAATAACTACTTTTTTTTGTAAATGTTAAGGCACACTCTTGTTTTAGGAGATTAAAAAGATGTTGTCATTCCCTTCTTTCCATCAATTAGCTATAAAGTTGCACATATTTTGCAGAAATTTAACATTCAAGTTGTTTATTCTCCCATCAATAAAATTCCGAATTCCATAGTCAAGGACCTCATTCCGGATATGAATTCCTGGGGTATTTATAAGATTCCTTGCTAGTGTGGTTTAATTTATACTGGCCAAACTAAGAGAGCCTTAAAATTTTGCGTCAAGGAACATGAGGCATATTCACAAGTCAAACAACAAAAAATCAGCGTTGATTTTTCAAAATTTTCACAGGACTAGTTTCGATGGGTTTACCGAACCATCATCCTCAGCTGCAAAACCACAAATGAACAAGATAGGAAATAATGATTACATAAGAAAGCCTGGACAAGAATAAGCAAGTGGCGCCATCTGTTGGTGAAACCAGAACTAAAACATAATTTCTTTAAAGGCCAAAGGCAAAGATGGATTGGAAACGAAAAATTTTGAAAATATAATGCTGATTTTTGTTGTTTGATTTGTGAATTAGTATTTATTCGGCGTGTTATTGTGTCTTAATTTGTTTAACATGTTATCTTTGGAATAAGATTATTCAAATGATCTTTACAGCTTTAGCTATTTTTTCCCTCTCCTTTTATTATCATTCTTTTTTTAAATTTGCAGCTCATCGTGTAATTTTTGACCAACTAGGTCTTGAAAAATCTTTTCTAATTTACTACTTGCTACTCCTAAAGGATATATGTATATACATATATAAAGCAGCACTTAAGCTGCTATGTATTGATAGGCGATAAATATTTTATTTATTATTTCCCACAAAGTTTCTTTTAAAGTGTTTCTTTATATCATTTTAAGATTAGAGAATTTATTTTACACAACAGAAAGTCTGAAATCCCGACGTCCAATATCCAAAATGATCTAAAATTCTGACCTCCAAACTACAATCAAACTACGCTTTGCATACGCCCATTTACTATTTTTTCATAATAAAACATGAGGAGAGTTATGATTCTTAATTTCACTTTGGCACTACAAAAAATTACCTCCACAAAGAAATAATCATTTATTAGCATAAATCAGTATTAATCAATAAGTTACCTCCATGCCTGTCCTTTTGCTTGGCCTCAAAGTGTAAAGCATGGCATGTGCTTGGCACATATCTCAAAACAAAATATTCTTCAATAAAAAGTCATTGATTTTATGTTTACTGAGTGACTTACATCCCTAACTACAGCCTGGCAAATCATTTTTATTTTTTGCTTTCATCATTGCCTTACTATCAATACATAGGAGCTTGAGAAATAACTCATGCAGTGATGTCCAAACAATTATTTAAAAAAATATTAGTACTGAATACCAAAGAACATGCTGACATGCTTGGCGACAATTACAGACTTCAGAAAACTGCACTAACAGAAATTTCTTACCATACACAAAAAATAGATGTTTCTAAAAATAGCTTTTAGTGTTGCTTGAATTAAAAATAATGGATTTGCTGTTCCAATAAGTACATGCGATTAGCAGTGTAACAATACTGGGAACTTTGATTTGATGCTTTTAACAGTATTTTTGTTTTAATCTGTGTTTGGAGTGCTGCATTAAACATGAGGTTGATTATTATCAGCCAGGAGGGTTGCAGCGCACTCACATATTACATTATATTACTCCTTAATTAAAAGCATTTTTTCACATATTCACAGTAGGTGAAGTTAGCATTTTCATTGCTATGAAAATGCAATGGCAGAAGAAGAGAAGCTCTGGACAACTGGTTAGTGATATAGAGACAAGCAGGAAAACAGCAAATATTATTCAATTGATATTAGGTTAAGAGTGGCAAAGTTATTATATTTATCAGCAAAGGGGTATAGTATTGCTACTGATTTAATTAAAATTAATTAAAATATTTTACTTTAATTTTTGTCATTATGTAAGTACATGCATGATTAGTGTATATCATATCATTGAGATTCATTAAGGGGTATCAGAAACCCCTAGACCGACAACATTAAATTGGCCATTTTCGATGTACCTTTTCTCAAAATCTGCTGTAGATACAAGCTTGAGTTTTTCTGTAATTAAAGTATACCTATCTGATATAACTGTAATGAGATTGAAACATTTTGATTTTAAAGTAAATTACAGATATTTGTTAGGCATAGAAATAGCATTTTTCTCACAAAAAAATTTTTTTTCTAAGTTTATTACAAAAAGCTCATTTCAGTAAATATTAGGGAAAAAATAAAAAGCCATTAAAAGTTAAATACCTGTGAGCAGTAGTTCCTGAGAAAGGTACATGAGTATAAAAAAATACGTTTGGGAAAAACGCATTTTTATGTAAAATCCTCATTGATCAAAGCAGTAGATGACAAATTAAAACTAGATTTTTTACAGTTCTAATTTCTAGAGATGAAAGAATGATATTTTTAGAAAGATAAAAGTGAAGAGAATTTGAAAATGCAAAAATCCGAAATCACAATTTTTTGAAGATTTTGGGGTTCCAACACCCCTTAAGAAATTATGCTTCGAGGATGGATTTGTTCTATTCATCTTACTATTTCTGAAATAGTAACAAGAAATAATAAAATTAAAAAGGATGTGTAAGACATTACCAAAATTATATAATAAGTACATGTGGGAATTTGTTTATTACAGACTTCAATAAGCCTTAAGAATATGCAGAAAATAAATAAGTATAATAAATAAAATGTAATTCTGGCCTAACTTCCTCATTGCACAACAGAAGCAGGTGAAAATTTACTAAACAACAGTCTCTGTCCACCAATCACATGTTACATTGCCAATAGTCTACAGTGGACACTAGCTAAGCTTTATGATGATAGTGTGAATCTGAAGGTTTTCAGATATCACAAATAAATGGTAGCATTTTCCAATTAATGGAATTTCTGAAGAAATATGAAGTGGTAATAAATGAAGATGATACATATAACAAAAGTTCTTCACTACGATGACTATGACCAATCTTCATTTAACTAACGTATGGCAAAATATGTAGTATTGTTCTAAATCCAGAAAATATTGCAAAGAGTAGTGAAGAAAGTGACAGAGAGCTTGTTGTTCAGAACAAAAAGATACTTTAACTGATAATTTAGTGGGAATTCTTGATATAGTAATTACAGTACTTGAATAATGAAACTTTGTAGCTGAACAAGAAATTATGTCTATAGAATTAAATGGAAAATATTAGCACAAAAGGTGAAGCAACTTAAAATAACAACTTTGAAAGAAATGTTTAAAAGCAAACTAATATATATATATATATATATATTTGTTGTTGTTGTTGTAAATTTGATTCCTAAGGTAATAATTCTTCATTGTTTCATAAGTACTATTAATATTTTTAAATTTATAATTTACATGTCATTTTACATTTAAATGATGATCTCTCTCTATATACTCTAATGTTTCACTTTTTTAATTTACCACTTTTGAATAATTTTATCCCTATTATTATAATTATTATATTAAATTTAATATAATTATATTAAAAACATGAAATAATTTTATTTAAAAAGTTTCAAATTACGTTTAAAAATAAGAAATCATACCCTGCAGAAAATATAGATCTCCACCACCATTTGTAGTCTTCTGCCGAAAGTTGAAAATATGTCAGAGCAACAGAGATGCATCCTGTTACACTCAGAAGTATGAAAAATACAATAAACAATATACCATATAAGGTATATTGTTCTCGGCCCCAGACAGTAGCAAAAATATAATACAACTCCACAGAAATGGCACTAGCAAATAAAAAAGAAATTCTGTGAGTTCATTTAAATAACAAGTTGTAACTGAATATTAAGCAAACAAATTTCATAAAAGTAGAAGGAATGAAACAGAAAATAACTCAGAAACATTTATAAATAAATTAAAATAATGAAATCAGAACACAAAAGAATAACATATTCTTACAAATTTTGTATATAGATAGATGATGTTAATGCAATTATATGTGAAACTGTTGTATTTTTTCAGAGACAAGATACGCCGGAAAAGTATGAATACAGGGGCAAGTCCATTTAGCATTGAGTAAACGGGTATCTCGGTAAGTTGGCGAGATATCGCCAAGCTGGCAAAGATTTTGGCGACTAATTTTTGTCACCAAAAGTCCCTAAACTTGGTGACATATTGGTTTAGTTCCTGTATCACCGTAAAGAGGTTATCACTTCTAGCGACAGTCCCTGATAGTTGGGACTTTTCTCAGAAACAGGAGGATTCCTACAAAAAAGAGCTCCGCTGGTAGCGATGTTCCATCTAGCTACGGAAACGATGTAGCGGCTACGCGGGATTTTTTTCAAACTTCACCGAAAATGTCTCGGCTGGAGCTCTGTCCAGGGTAGAGATCAACCAATCAGACGAAAGTTTTGCTTCTGAAGGATCACGTGATCCCAATCTGAGCGATAATCAATTAAGGTTTGGCGTTCAAGTCTTTGTAGTAAGTGAAACTGGTAACCCAGCTACGCGGGTTTCTTGGAAATGTGCGGGGTTGAGAGTTGTCCTTCTCGACGACCAGTCCCGCGTAGCCGAAACATAATGTGATTGGAAGATAATATATACTGCAATTGAATAAATGTAATTGATCACTCTATCAGTTGAAACCGTAATTCGACCCTCATATTGCCTTCCAGCAATTTCGAGATGCAAAAAGTACTAAAAATATTTCGGTAGCCGAGTGGAAACTGTATAAGGTCGGAAAGAGCATCTGCTCTCAGTTGTTGATAGCTGTTAGCTCAGCGCGAGTTCGGAATACTATCTCCGGTTTAGCTTCTCTTTTTAGTTGCGCTTTGCATTGCGCTATGTTTAAGGACCTTATCACTTCTATCGACGCGCGCGGCTAGGTGGGACATTTCCGACAAATGAGATTCTCATAGCACTGCTTTAAACGTTAGGCTTCCGAGAAATGTTTCGTCTTGCTAGGCGAAACATGTTCCGGCTATCTGCTTCTGAAAGGTAACGGGTAATTTTCAATATGGCGATGGCTCTCATTGTGAAATCATGGACGATGGAAATACGTAGGTTTTTTTTTTTTTTAACCTCCGATCGCACAGTATGATGGCCAGGTATGCGGCAGGTGGTTGGTGTGCGTAGTAGGCGACTGCGCATCTCCCCCTCCAAAAGCTCTGTCACTGGCGTATTCAACACGCCATTTTCTGTTGAGTTGCAGTCACGTAAATATGGCTGTCGCTATGATTCTCCGCCAAGTTGAATGTGAAATGTTATTCGTCTTGCAGGCAGAAGGAACACTGCAGCGGAAATTTCGAGAATGAGTCGATGTATGGAACATCTTATGAGTGATGGCGTTGTCGTGAATGGGTCGAAAGTTTAAGATTCGAACTGATGTGCATGAAGGGGAGCAAGGACGCAAGTCTGTCGCTGCAGACGACATTGTTCAACGAGTTGACCAGCGGTAAGCAAAATCGAAATTCGACATACGTGAATTATCGGTGAAATTCCGAAGTTTCAAGAGTCTTCCCTGTACTTATCGTATGACACAGTTGCGTTACAGAAAAGTTGCGCTCGAGGGTCCCACAATGTTGACTGACGACCACAAAATCACGCCGAAGTGGTTGCAGCGTTGAGTTCTTGACCGTTACAATACTGCCGGAAAAAGAGTTTTGAAATCATTGTGAAAGGTGATGAGACATGGGTCAGATGCCAGCCCGAAACGAAACGACGTCACAACTCTGGATGCCACACAAATTTAAGAGAGACCCACAAATTCAACGACCTTTAACAAACGAAGTTATGGCAACTGTTTTTGGAGACAAAAATGGTGTTGTGTGTGATGAGTTATGCAGCGGAACACCAATTATGAGATTATGTATTGTGAAACTTGCGACGCTTACGGAGAAGCGATTCGAAACAAACAAAGGACATGCTGTTTTGGAAGTGTTTGACCCCACACTGCCCGTCCTCAAGAGCTCGGAACCAACGGATCTTCAGCAATTTCAATTGGACATTTCGAAACATACACCATATAGTCCCGACCCTAGCGCCGGTGACTTTCATCTTTTCCTGAACTGAAGGGGTAAGGCGGGGAGAAAGCGCCCCACAATGACGTGGAGTTGAAAGAAACCGTAACATTCACTTCCAATCATTGGCGGGGACATTTTATAAGAGGATAAAGCTTGTTCACAGATATGACAAATGCCGGTCGTCAAGGGATATGTAGAGAAATAACCTGTATTGCACATTACTTTTGATAATAAAATCTTTTTGTATATTCAACCGTCTTTTCTTTATAGCCCATCAAAGGTTGGAAAAAAAAAAAAAATAGCCCTCGTAGATGCCGATTTAATTGAAGAAAATACGGAAAAAGCCGTATATATATTGTCGTTTTGTTGTAGTCTGGTGATCTCAGGCGTGCCCAGTTCCGTCTGGTGATCCCAGGCGGTGCTTCTTGTTCTCCAAGGTGCAAGGGCGTAGGTTGAACCTGCGCGCCTCGTTCTGGGGTGGGGGACAGGAACCTGCATATGCGGTTAAATCTCACACGCAGGGCAGCCCAAAATATTGTTGCTTTGTTGTAGTATAACTGTCTAAGTCATTTTTAAATGTTTATATATTCATTAAATTTATAATCGTTGAAATTTCAGAGTAGACAATATTTTATGTCGTGCTATTTTCGATGATCTGTTTTCAAATTATTCGTCGCCAAATTTGTCGTATTTCGACAAATAACTCGCTTATTCAAGAAAAGGCTTGGAAATTAGTAAAAAGACCTGAAAACAAGAAAGTTATCGGTAGTAAATGGGTTCTTAAATTAAAATATAATTACGATGGCACTATTGAAAATACAAAGCTAGGCTAGTTGCTAAAGGGTGTGCTCAAGTCCCTGGTCTCGATTTCACTGAAAACTTTTCCTCTGTTGCTGGATTAAGTTCCATAAGAACAGTTTTAGCCTACGCTGTAGAA